ATCTGGAAAGGCTCCACGAATGCTGGCAGGTGCTAGCAGGTTTTAGAGCAACATATGCTTCCCTTCAACAAGGCAATACTAAACCACATACTACAATTATTACAACAGCATGACTTTGTAGGAGAAGAGTCCGCTGAGCTGGCCTGCCTGCAGTCTGCAGGACTGTTGAGCAGCTAGAATCCTAAATCAGACAACAGACGTCCAGCAACTGGTCTCCTGAGTCTACGGACTTTTACGTACTGCTGTCAAAACAAGAGGGGCTGCTACTCAGTGATGTCGCAACAGTTTTTAAGATGTGTTGCTGCCATTAAATTCAAAATAAGCAAATGTTTTTCTTAAGCTGGCACATTTTCACAGTTTAAACATTTAAAACAAAATTTGTTTCACTGTTCTAGTTTGAGTAAAATATGATTATCAGATTTGCGAATCATTACATTTTGTAGTTAGTTACATTTCACACAGCATCTTAATTTTTTTGCAGTTGTATTTGAACAATCAGTACTAGTTGCAATAGCGTAGCTGGGTTTGTACCCCCATTGTGAAAAACCTCCGTTATGCAGCTCACATTAAAATAATACATATTTTTAAAAATGGAAACACTGTGGCAATTCAGACAGCATTTCTCTAACCATACATTTATGCATTGCTTTATGCTATACACACTATTAACCTCACATGGCCAATTTACAATGAACAACTAAGCTACAATGCACATCTTTGGTCTGTGGGAGGAAAGCACAGGGAGAATATGTAAACTCCAGATACAAAGCACCAGCCTGCCAGGACATTTGAACCAGGAATCGTCTTGCTGTGTGGCGGCAGTGCTAACCATGTGCCCACAAACAAACATTTGATGTTGAATAAGAACTCATCAAAACAGACTGGAAAGAGATTTTGCAGTGTGAACACGCTGGCTGTAACACAGAGCATGACCTCAGTTTTCTTTATGAGTGTTGCAATCTGATTTCAAAGGTGCTGCGTTTTACAACTCCCGTAATCTCACAATGTCTTGCAAATCTTCTCTTTTTTCCTCATGAACATTTTGCAGATCGTATACACACCTTCATAGCTAAGTGCAGAGCTGTGTTTCCATCCTGGCCCCTCAGGTTGGCATTCGCTCCGTGGGTGAGCAACACCATAGCCGCCTCAAAGCGACCCTTCTTGGTCAAAATGTGCAGAGCGCTCTCTCCAGTCTTACTGAGGTAGTTCACTTCACAGCCACACTCTAACAGCATGCGACACATCTATCACCCAG